TCTAGAGACAGATCGCTTACGAGAAATGCTTCTACGTGGAGTGCGCGATCTCTTACGGTCGGTACGAAGATTACGATAACGTGTGAGTGTATGACATAACTCGGTTATGTCATTCTGAGTCGTTTGAGGTTTTTCTTTGACTGAAATTACCTCGGTAGTAGAAGATTTCGTAATTTCTAAAATACGATCGGTAGATGCAGCCAGTTCGTCTAAGGCGTTGTTCTGAAACGAGACCGAAACCGCTTGCACCTGTTGGGGAAGTTTAGACAAGAAGAGTTGTTTGAATAGACCTTCGTCGAAAGTTTTTGGGCCTATAACCTCTCTCATTCTTTGCAACATGTCCGTCGCAGAACCGTGTTGCAGCTCGACGTTATTGAGGAGTTGGTCTATCCTTTGTCGATCGGTTAGGTCTCCTCGTTTAAGGATAGAACGTTTTAGCGTTTCGTAAGGTTCAGAAACATCACTAGTAAACATACTAGGTGTTACGTACCTTTTGAATTCGCGCAGTAGTGCCTTGACTACTGCGAGGAGTTGTGCACATGGGTCGTTCATGCCGTGCTCGTGGAAGTCGGCTTCTGCGTAGCAGGACCAGGTTTCGATATTGTCAGGCCAGAAGGGCATGCGTTGGAAGGAGGGTGGGGACATGGTCTTAATCTTAAATACTTAAGAGTTTGTTCGGTCATAGGGGAATATTAAGTACGAGAATACGAGGGAAAAAATTATAGATATCCTGAGACACGGGGGAAAAAGAAATATCACAATGTATTAAAAATAAAAAAATAAGGCAATAATATATAAAAATTCCAAAAAGGAACAGACGCACAGTTGCAATTAGGTGTACTAGAGCACGTCGGTCTCACCAATGATGATGACACAGGTATTCAGTGTTTGACAACGCTTATACCAGCAACACATTCTAATATAATTCGTACCCACCAAGAGAAATCAAAAGACAGAGTCGAGGAGATCCGAAGAGTATATTTGGCGATTACCAATATATCAGAGTTCTCTGATCTAATCTGGCTAGCGATTGCGGTAGGTGTTGAGCACGGCGTTCACACACGTGATCTGGTACGGATGCATGACCGAGCGCCTTCAGCTAGGTGAGTCCACTAAAACATATGGTCAGTATCCAGTGTCGAAAACTTACAGAGCTATTTATTTTGGGGATTTATTTACCGCTACAACATATAGTGGTGTTCTAATACTGCAGTCTTTTTTCCCTATCAAAAGGCTTGAATATCTGTTTCCTGAAAAATGGTAACATGGCACTGGTACTCCCCAGACTTACTCAATCATTTCAATTCTTCAGCTACTTTTAATCCGAAGGACGCTCGTCGACCTTGAGACCGTTAGGTGTTAAATATTTCTCCTGGCTGATTCTCGTTCTCTTCCAAATCGCTCATCATTGTTGATTGTACATAGTACTCAATGTAAGTGTATGCTGTGAGTTTTGAGGGTTTTGGGACTCATCTGCCTCAGAATTCGGGATTTTTATTTCCGCTCGCATATTTGTTTTCCGGATTACTTCCTCATTTTCGTATACACTAGTTCAGGAACACTGTAATTTTTCATCTCCAAATTAAAACACGAATTTTCGCTCTTCTGAAGAAAGACAACGCATAGACTAGACATAAACCTGTTGACGTCTGAAATATATTTGCTATGATATGCGACGAGGCTTTCATGTAAGTCGCTATGCCTAAAATTTCCTTATTCTAAAATAGATCTTCGTCTTTAGATAACATGTCAAGCGAAAACGTCAGTTCCTGGCATACTGACATACAACCAGCAGTCCAGCATCACATCGACCTTAAGTCAAAATTGTGGTCAAAAGAAATTCAGTTGGATGTTTGTGATAGATTTAGTCTTTCAACACTTCTTGATTTTATGAATATGATTCGGAATTTGTCGTCTACTCACATAAAAAATAATCCTACATCTGAATCACCAGTGGATCACACTTACTTGAGTCTCCCTTCCAGTGTTTGTTTGGACAAAACCTCACTGACATTGCATTATCCTCTCAGTGATTATGGCTCTGTACACGATATTCTTTGTAAGAAAGAGGGCGGTTTGAACGAAAAACTGGTATGCGCCATTATGGGAAGAGTAGTATTGTGCCTTGACCAATTGCATAATAGTGGTTTACTTCATCGAGGTTTATGTTCGAAACATCTACTCTTCAGAAAAACGTTAGATCCTAACTCAAAGTCTCATAAATTAAGTGTGGTTCTCTGCGGCTTGGGAAGTATGGCACAGCTACCACCATCCTGGAGTACTGTGGCGCGAAACGATCTGCCCTTCCTTTATGTTGCATGGCGTGGTTGGAGGTTGCATGAGTCGTCAGGAGGTGAATCATATAGCCATCCAGCAGCATGGTACAGCCCGGAGTTATTGGCACAGGATTTTACTGGATATTCGTGGTCTTCAGATATATACAGTTTAGGTCTTATTTTGTACGAAATATTCACTGGTCAACCGCCATATATAGGATGTCCTCCTTCTCTTATATTCCTGAAGAAAATGCTCCAGCTAGATTTCCCTCAACTTCACTATGTAAGTTATTTTTCTAAATATATAGACCCTCTTTAGTTGAAGAAATTACGTTCAAGAGCATATGATTTAAAAAATAAAAACTGATAAATTTGTATGTTAATTAAAAGTATTCGAATTAATGTACTAAGGATTTACGAAATAGTGCTATGTAAGGCAGATAGAACTAGATGAGCACAATTGGGCGTATTATATTCATGATTCGTAATCGGCGCCCAACCATGTACCAAGGCGTCGTCAGTTGATACAAATACTACAATTTGTCGACTGGGATCTCCACTGCTTTCCATCGGTAAAATCATGTGAAGATGAATTGTATGCGAATTGTACCTGTAAGTTGTCGACCAACGAAATTATCCATACACTGGCCCCATAAGCAGTTTATATAAGATGCTCTTGTTAAATTTAAAATTTCATTAGATCAAGTGTGAAGCTTTTTGTAAACAGGTATAAGTTATTGATTACTTTGTTGCTAGTTTTTCTAACTCGTTAATCTCTTTTTTACATCCCACACCGTATGGATTTAACCATTAAAAAGGCGAACAATTTACTCCACAACGTATACAGTTCAGTCATCTCACTTTCTTTACGTAATCCAGGTTGAAAATGTTACATTGCTTTCGTTAAATTATCTTGTTTACGCAAATTCACCTCACTTGTTCACTTTTTGTATATATTGTAGAACGAAATAAACTTTAATCCATCAGCATCCATTTGATGCAGTTAGTCACAGTGCGACATGCAAATTATCAGTAAGGTTGATAAAATAGTAAAATGGTAATTACAGACACTATTTATTGTAGTTTTCACTATATACTGCTTGTCGACCAGTGATGAAACTTATTGAACGAGTCATTATCTGCCCTCCGATTCCTTACAAAAAATATTTTGTTAAAATATAATGGTAATCAGACTTAACTTCATCCATATTCTGAAGGCTTTCCGCACACAGCACACTAAACTTCTGTAATCTTTTGCTGTGTCTTTGCAACAAACTATCCACTATGTGCTATTCATAACTCTCCAACAACTAGCGGTAATCAGTTAAAGTTTCCCCAGCTCTTGAGTCCATCGTACACCTCAACTAAAAATGCCTCGCTATCTACTGTTAAATCTTAAGTTAAACAATGAATGATAGTGGATTGTAATACAATCAAGCGTGCCTTAATAATATTCCAACTATCAATCCACATTTGAATAAAAGGGTCCTAATCGATTTTCTTAAATCAGGTAGATTATTTTTTTCATGGGTATGCTTAGTACCATCAATTTCGCATAGCTTGATAAACCAATGTTCACGTCTCATTCGATATACGAGTAAACGGGGAGTAATTGAAGAGTGGCCGTTCATTGAAATTAGGTTAGAAGTTTTTGTTGCTTCTTTACAGAAAACTTTGCAGGTTCATTTATAACTATTAGATGTACGCAGTTAGTAACTTTTTGAAATATTTGAGATAGGTAGTTAATTGATATTGAGACCAACTCCTAATATTTTTTTATCCAAACGTATATTAAACTTCAATCTAGTACAATCAAACACCACCGGGTCGTTTTACATAAATCCAATTTAGTCCTCCAGACAGGTATGAAATTCATGTTACCGTTAGGTGTGCTCTTTTTATCTCTTTCCAAATATACTGGGTATGCTAGATTTTTCTGCATTTAACCTTATTTAGCAGTGTAGGTAGGTGCTGACTATCTAGTTCCTGTCTGCGCAGTTATCGTTACTAATGACTGGGTACGTCGGGCGACATGGTTTGAAACTAGTAGCAACGGTTCAGATGCTCATTCCTTTATCTTTCGTTAAATAATGAGTCTTCCTGAATCATATTGTCTACGCCCAATCTTTACTACTGCTATTATTTTTGAATTACATTTAACGAGACAGTATTCAGCTATCTATATTAATAGCTAGTAAGATCATGTTAGCCTTTCACATTCAGTTATCAATTATATGTATCCTGACTCCGTTTGGACACCCGGGCGGTATCACAGCCCTCACACAAATCAAATGGGATTTGTATGACGCATATGTATCTGGTGCCCCCTTGTACCAGTATTTATGTGTTCAAATAAATATATATATATGTATGAATGTTGCGTTTCTGCCATAGTTGTCCTGTAAATTTTTATATCCTACTGGGATTTACACTCATTTTCGCTAAAATATTTTGTCATTCCATTTCTCCTGTTTATCTCCCATTTTCTTAACAAGAATGAAACTAATCCGCCCAGTGCTGAAATGGAGGCGATCTACAAAGCTTGTACGCATTATGATCCAAAACAACGTCCATCTACAAAAGATTTACTAAATATGCCATGGATACAAAATGGTTTAAACATAGTTATCACAACTAGCGAGTTAGATTCCTTACGTTGAAATACTCAACTAATCAAAACGGTAGTTTGAGCAAGTGACATTCTCTATATTAGAAAACTTCTTCACAGTAATATTCTTTATATTTTTACAATATTTACAATGAGTTTATGAATCGAGTGTACAGATGTATGTATAAATCAGAATTAATACATGGTAGTCTAGTTTTTATTTGACTTTTATATCCAAACCATTTGGATAGTGTTTTTTAAATCTTTCAACAACTGCTGGATCAACCAAATAAGTTCCGTCCAGTTGGTTTCCAAGCGTGATCCTGTGGTATTTTTTTGTTAAAAGATTAAAACAAAAGTGAAAAACACTAACAGTATGGAATAGCACTGTTAATCTTATGGTGGACCATTTATTAAGTAGTGAGCAGATAGTAAGGATCAGGGAGCAGGTTGTTTCATCGTTTCCTCTGCAAACGCTTAAACCGAGCACGCTAGATCCATTTTAGGATCAAAGATTTAGGAAACAGGATGCAGTTTTCACATTCTGTTGCCTTAATTAAGTGGTGAGAGGAAGTCCTGAACTCAAGTTTCGCATTAACTAGCACTGATCCGTATGACTTGCCTGCGATCTTGATGCAACTGATGCTTCCTGTGTGATTGAAACTCACGTCACCCAGCTTTACATTCTAGGATCTTACCGCTGAGTTATTCAAGTAGTAGTGTTCCAGAGTATCACGGCGGACGATGCAAGTCCGGATCTCCGGTGGAGCATCAGTCCCCTCGAGACTGCAAGTACGCCTTGCTGACGAGGAAAAACTAGTGAGAAACCTAGCACCAACCATCTAACATCTAAACATAATGAACGTGATGATGATTTACTCACACTATTAATCACACAGCAACCTAATTAGTAAAATCCGATTACGGCTGAATGAATGACTAGGTAGACATGACACTAGTCGCTAGTGAGTGATTAGTCAAGTATAGTGCCTCATTGGTTGTACCACCACTTTCTGGTGAATCAGAATTTTCATATGTGCATTTATAAGAACTTGAAACAAACAATGAACTACTATCTATATGATTTTAATTGGTTTACTAGTAAATGACAACAAGAACAAAATCGACGCTGTGTAGATTTTTTGCCTACAATGAGTCGTGTTAGGCCAATTGTTATGTAGATGGTATTCTAATTAACACTCTACTACCTTGAAATAACATACTACGCCTGATTTGTTTAATATGCTATTAGCTACTACATAAAATACTGAAAGGTCACATATATTGTGCGAACTAGATCTTGGTGTTAAACAAGTACTTTTTCATGGAAGTGAAAATATTTTTAGATAACTCAATAAATACTATTCTGTCATTTTGATTTATGTTTCTAGTGTAAATCTAAATTAGAATATACATGTCTGAAAAATGAACATGGATTTACTCTTCATATTGCATGTTTGACACAGTTTAATTCTCTGGTTTCAGAGTAAAATTAATATATATGCTTTTCTCGATGACTTCGTTTAGTTAATATTACTAATTAAATGTTTAGATTCTTACCAGTTAGGCTGTAAGTTATGAGGACGTCCAAATAATTCGAGCTTGCGCGTACCAGGAGATAATCGTTCAATTATACCGTAGATTTCATCAGGTTTATGACTAGTTTCACGAACTTCAGAGACAATTATATCACAGTCGAGACCTCGATTTACACCCTTATGAAAAATACGAATATCGGTGTAAGAATATAATTAAAATTGTCCCCTAAAATAAAGTTAGTCAGACGTAACATACAACCTGGTACATATGTAAATTGGTTCACGTCGCCACATCACATTAACGCAGCGAAATGAAATTATCAACACAAGTGAGAGAATAGTAGAAATAGTAACGGTAGTAATAGATAAGATCAAACATAGACATGATTTAAAAAGGACCCATTTGTGTATAAAATGTATAAGGTAAAATATAAACTCAGTATCTAACGGTAGACAAATAGTGGATGCATCTGCGACCGATTCTAATACATGTTACTCATCTCTAACCGTCGGTTGCAATGGTTATGCAGACCTTAACTAGATGGTCTGCAGTCAATAGTTAATGCACTCATGGACAAATATGTTCTGGTCCGCCCATCATTGGTTCCTTCTAACTTACCACAATACCAAATATCACATCGAAGTAGGCGGTGATTGGGTATACGTAATGCACGCCACAACCACCTCAGTCGATTTGTGACATTTAATGTCCTACGGCTGACCTAACCACTGCTCTTCCGGTGGTCCCAACATATGGGGGCAATGCTTTAAACAGATCTATGATCAAGTACTAATAGTTTACAAATACCCTTAATTCTTAAAGGTCACATTTCGCTGTCGTCATGTAGAACAGAGAGGTATTGCTGCACGGTTGGGATACGGGGATCTCATCTACACCACAAGTGATGTAAACTAGCAGAAACTAATTGAGCTTATTGAATCCATACCGAAAGTTCATCACATACCAACCCACCAGGATTTATGAGACTTCCAAGATAAGTGAAGTAGTTGACCCACTGAACTACTTCATTTCCTACAGCTAGTTTGAGTGTCGACGCCAACCAGTAATGGTCATTCTTATTGAATTATTAATAACTGATAAGATTCATTTTCAGCTTACTTTTGGGTTGCCTTTTACACCAACTAAACAATGTTCTTTGCCATGATTTAACCAATGTCCTGTACGTCCTGTCCGAATTAAACGTTGCAATTGGTTAGTTTTAACCCATATAATCTCATCTACGCGTTCGTAACCCCATAAACGTAGGCATTCTCGACCAAGTTCCATAGCTCTGTGATTTGAAATAAAAAATAACTAGAAGGTAATCATCCAAATTACAGAGTTTTGAAGCAAGAGTTGAGAAAGGTGTCAGAGTTTTTATTAAGGAATATGACAGTTTAAGACGCTACACACCACAGCAGCAATATGTCTAGAACTCAAATAGATTAAAAGAAAGTTACGTAGATCCTACAATTGCTCATGTGAAATCCAATTACAGGAAGTACACATATCTCAACAATCAGTTATTCCATGAACTAGTCTTACGCTTTAATTTGATTATTATGAACGTTGTTTTAATCTACTATGCTAATTAGCATCACATGTCAAGATAAGTAGAGTAATACGCATATGTAACGATTGGTTCACCATTTAAATTAAGTAACATTCGAAGTAGATTCACACATCACATAATTTTATGGAACTATCCAATCTGAAACATATTTTTTAAACACATAACCCGAAAAGTGGAACTTAAATATCTGGAAGAACGATTTTCAGATCTCCTGGTATAGAACAAAACATCACTAGTGTACGTTAAAATCGAGCTTATTAGTTGTAATTTATATGAAAAAAAAACATTCACTGACCTTCCTGTTACCCATAGGAATATATAACCATCATCTTGTAAACAAGGTATATCTAATCGTCTCATCTCATCGTCTGACATTGTTCCATAGGGCAGTTCCATGTGTATATCCCATGGTGGATCAGCCATAATCACAGCAAATTTTCCAAGGATTGACATATTTATCAGTCGTATATCACAGTTAATCCACTAGAAAAGTGATAGCAAATACTTGAAAATCAGTAATCTTATTCGCAGTATTGTGTATCAAGTGAGTTATTACTTTTTCAACAGTATATGCATTCTGAAGCACTCTACCAGCAGTGATAACCACTGCCTCTTCAGTAGTAGACAATTATGAAAGTAGGATAAAAAATTATGTATTTTCCTAAGAAATGCCCTTCTTTAGCTGAAACGGACGGACAATAATAGGAGAAGTTCCTCTAACATGCGTTACGCGATACTTCCTTTTTAATTTCACTATTGTATTAATACTTCTTAGCCTCTAAGGGACATATTATGATTAAGTTTTTTTTACGAAATAGGACGAACGGAATGAATCTCTGAAGGTGCGACATCAGTGGTTTCCAATAATTCCATTGCTTCAAGGAAAACACATGCTTAGCAACTCATTTACCAAGTAAAAGTTTATGTAAATGGCTTTAACCTACATTGTTTATGTAGTGATACTGCAGTGAATGAGAACGCGGGCGAGGACAACTAGCTGTATTTGAATACAGAATTACAGAATCTCAGTAAAATCTGAGAATACAGTAAATACTTCATCTGCAAAATATCCATCAACTGTCTTAGACTATATTGTTCCTTCATTTCCATACCAATCACTCTCTGTTCTCGTTCTCTCCTCTTTGATCTCAACCTTCCACCAGGTATTCCACTTTCGATTGGTGATACAAACTGCTTATATCTATCGACATCAGTAACACATACCACAATACGATTCTATTCTTTAAACTGCGTTGGATGAGGCGGAGCTCGAACCCTCAACTTAATAATACATAAACAACTAATTTAGCTACTAAGAAATCAAACAGCCTTCCATAAAATGTACCAAACTCTTAATAATTACTGAATCCAAGGAGGCTGTCGTAAACAAGTTATGATTAATTTATTCAAACATTTAATAATACGAGTTAAAAATTGATATGAAAACTTTAATAGACTGATCAAAATAACTTGGATATTGATCCTATGATTAATAGTTGTAGTTAGAAGTATTGCCCACTTGACATACTCTGGAAATTAATGATTAGACCGTAAATATATATTGCCTGCCTAATGACTGCGCGAAATTCGGATATTGTCCACTACGTATTTCTTCTTGAAGAGCACATACCAACTGACCTTTGAGTAAAGATTCTCAAGTGTCTGTAGGATCTGATATGACCAGAGTTTTTAAATATCGATGGATGTAGCCGTGGTATTCCGAGAACGAACTTGTAAAACCTACAATAACCGTTCGAGTTTCTGACAGATGATTCGATCGTCACGTCTGACTACCCTTTCTACTTACCACCTGACATAGTCCCTGTGAGTTCCCTATGTTTACAGGCTAAAACCCTAACCGAAACATGGCATCAGTCCATGAAGTCACTAGCAATTGAAATTAGTCATGTTGACTGGTACAGACTACATGGTTGGGGTTCTTGTGATTATCGTAATCAATGATTACATACTTTGAATGACACGATTCAAAACCGTTTGCAATGGTGTATGTGCATTTATTTTTTGTTTTCCTTCAAATTCTAAATTCCTCACAACTGCTTTATTTCACTGATTCATACTTTCTTTTTGAGTTGTATCTTTGATATCTAATCTTTCGTATTACCACTAATACTGTTGCTAGATCCAATATTCTGACAATTTCAGCTCTCTGTGCGAATAGGGTATGGCAACTTGAACCGATGTAAATACGTATAAGTTATATGTTGTGACTGACAGACTGAAAAATGTTGATATGGGTGCGGTATTGAGTTATTGTGGGAGTGATAAAAAATGAAATAGCGAAGTAGATGAAGAGCATAGCTTTGAAAGTCCTTCAGGGATGTTTTCGTCAGTGAAAACATGGGTGAGATAAATATGTTGTCACAAATTGGAAGGATTTTAAAGGAAATAAGACTGAAACACCGTGTTTTATAGAATAAATATTTATGAGTCCAGTTCATCGACTTATTGGACAGAGCAGTAAATACCTATACACATTGATAATTTTCTTTATAGTTGCGTGTAGGCTAGGATACTGCACGGACTCCCAGACCGAATCAGGTGGCTTTTTTAGCCCTCGAGCCTTTAACCTAGAGGCCTAATAGACAAAGCAGTGGGGCGAATTTAGGAGATAAGGTTTAGAACTGTAGTTTTCAATTATCCTAGGTAGGCCCTCCATATTCACTAGCCCGGTTCAAGCCCTGGCGGTGGCGTGACTGAAGAGACCAATTTATGTATAGTGAAAGCCATAGTAGCTCATGCCAATCTGGGCCATCTTAGGTCCCTTCGTCATGTGAATGTGGCTGTAAAGGTCGGGTCACTGAGTGGTGATCAATGTCATGCTTGTCTAGTCCTTATTAGTGCAGATCGAATGCTATCGATCATGTTTTGCTCTATGATTGTGAAACCTAGCCACTCTGAATGGAGAACTCTTTATGCTCGGTGATTACTGTTTCCGAAAGATTGCTGATATTCAATGCCAACGTCATGTTAGTAACCCAGAGGTCCGTCAACATACATTTGGGCACAATAACGATAATTCAATTGGTTTCACTACCTTGAAAAACCGAGTTTAGTGACTTCGACACATATTACGAATACCGTGCCAATGAATTCCATATCGTACATTATTTGCCAACGCCTGAGCTGATTGGGAAAAGTGGTTTATGACATAGAGCCGGGATGCGAAAGAAAGCTGTACAGGATTTAAATCTGTTGTTTTTTCACTACTCCCTAACTGAGATCCTAAAGATAGTTCAACACAATAGCTTGAGACATAACTAGGGATTTTACTTTGTAAAAGTGAGAGTAAGTTCTTGAACTGAAAGAATCCTTTCTGGCTGTATATTTTTCTCAAGTGAACTGGTTCTACCATTATTTGCTACTCGCATTCACTAGTTTTTATTCATCTATTATTATGTTTATTTATTATACTCACGTTCCTTCCTCTATGTCTTCACAACCACATTTTCTTGTTGTGTATGGTGCACCTTTATACCAATAATTATGTCTTCAAATAAATAAATAAATGATATATATATATATATATATATATATATAACGTTACCTGAGGTGGATATAAAATTAGTGATGTTCCATTGTCTTTTACAGCACCACCGCCACTAACACTGACACCGTCATCAATTGAATCTATTGAAGATGTGTTGATTTGTGACGATGATACTGATAATGATGACGAAGACATTGTATTTGTTGTAGAACTATTATCATTTTGATTATTTTTCTTATTATTTAACACATTCCGATTAGCAACACCACCATCTAATTGTTGATTAACACTATCTGTATAATCTATTGTGTAATGAACATACTAAAATAACAAAGAAAATTTTAAAAAATCAATGATAATAAGTAGGGTGACTTATGTGAGAATTAGGAGAATTGATCATTTAAGAATGGAGAGTGTTAGTTACAAGTCCCACCTCATTTCCCACTGTTTATTTATAATCTCGATTATTGAATTCACGTTATATTTCGTATATATATCCTTAGACTTATTCTGTTTTCTAACAGATTTATTGGATACGAAATGTTTTAGAAAGGTATGTATATATTTTAGACGAATGTATTAAAAAGATCACGTGTACGAAGAACAAACAATAGTGAGAAGTGAGAATCCTATATAGTGTATGGAGTGTGATAAATGGATTGATGTGACGATCAATAATTGTGCTCCGCGAATTGCTATATTGATCACTTGTATAATGTGTAGGTATGTGTGTGGATTTAATACATTAGTTGAATCCCTATTTAAATTACTGTCTGAGTTTATATAGTCGAATAATGGTCATGCAGATGTACACAAGTGGTCTACGCACATAGAAATGGAAGGTAGATAAAAGTAATTATCAAAATGATACGACTAAAAACGGCATACATTTGTTTATCAGTCGTGTTTTTTAATTGTTAAGACAAAAATAAATTTGCATAGTTTAGCGGTTGTGGAGAATGTTAAATTTTTGATTGAGATCATGAACCTATTGATATTAGACCATCATTGAAAACCTGGAAGCACTGGACGGCCGTTTCGTCCTATTGCGTGGATGCTCACTGCTGAAGAGTCCCACAATGGGACGAAAAGGCCGTCCAGTGCTTTCAGGTTTTCAGTAGGGGTCTAATATCAATCGGTCTATGATCTCAATCAAAAAAATTTGCATAGGAATGTACACAATGTGTTGTTTATTTCCTTTAGACACATAAGCTAGCGATTGAAGTAGCAGATTGATATGGTAAACCAATCAGAAATGATTTAAAGGACAAGTGCATGTCATTGGCTTAGAAATGGGTTCATTCTCTATGGGATATATATATATATATATATATATATATATATATATATATATATATATATATATATATATATATATATATATATATATATATATGAGTATTTGTGCATTTTATTCGGTAGTTCAATAAACTTTATCATCCACTCTCATATTTGCACTCAAGGAGTCAGTTGGAGGGGTTGGTGTGCATTATATTTCGGGCACCATCCAATACAACACGGATTCCAAATGGAGAAAACTAACCATAAACATTCACATTCAATTAAATCTTAATGAATTGGATACCAATCAAATTTAATAGTATTCGAACCGTTAACATTCAACATTTTACTGGACTTTTTTATTGACTCACTCCCGATTGTAGGCAAATTCAGCTGACGAACACTAAATAGGACGAAACACGCATCATGGATTCGAATGTCAGCCATCACTCGTATATACTTATAACGCTTGTGAGTTAATGGCAATATCAAGATAATGCGCACAGGATGCTTCAAGCGATTGATTAATTGCAGTCCTAAACATCAATGGGAACATTCCAACAACCAATATAAATGAATTAGATAATATGAAGTTTTCTTACGTTATTAGAAAAAAAAGTACAAAGATTCATGACAAATTTTTGTTCGATTTTGTAGTAACAGTGTAGCTATTAGTAGTGCTCACGATGTTGACTGCTTCATATGTATATCTGGGCATAAATTGATGGGAATGATAAATACGGAGACAGTTGAACTAGGAAATTAACGGCAGACGATGCGGCTTTTACAATATTTATGCAAAGCTATTTGACTACATATCATTAGAAGTAACACAATTATCCTGTACACGTTTGTGTACTCAGCTTTGAGTCATACTAATTGTGTAAGGGCTAGGAATACTACTACTAATTAATTAGCCAAAAACGAACATGAGACGGGTTCAAACCTATAACTTACTGACTAAAAGCAGAAAACAAATAAATATCATGGTATACTACTTTATACTTACTTTACACGTGTCAACATGAAAACAAGTATTCAAGAATGAACAGTCTCCAAGAGATTCTGAAATTAGAAAAATAAGACTTTAAGTGAACTTACAAATTCATTTAGGTAGTTTCAGACTGTATCACAGAAAATTTAGGGTGAAATCATGAATTGATAATTATCGAGGACATGTGAAACCAACTCCGCCTGTAGCTCTTCTAGAGTTACTGCCGATCCCAAGCCCGGGTAAAAGAGGAGGCTTGGGTATGGGGTTAGAGACCCCATCCCATAGAAAACTAACTCGCTAGAAAACGCTAGCCAGAAAAAATGTCTGAAACCCCTAACATCCTAGTTGGAAGGAGGGGTAACTGCACTATAGTAGTATATAATGATTAGATACGTTGGGCGACTTAATGAAAAATGGATTACAGTGACACAGTTGTGTCCGTTAGATAGTTAGCCTTCTGAGTTATGTAACATTCCTAATTTTTTTATTTTTGTTTTATTCGAACTGCATAGTAGGTGATGTAACGGACGGTTCCAAATATTCTTTTCATCCTCGGGTGTACTACATTAATACGATAACAAGACTAGTCATATTATCAAAAGCAGTTTGATAAATTGGAATAAGAGGATATAAATGAATGAATACTAGGACTGAAGACATAAATGAAAAGAAAGAGTGAATGTATTTAAGTCACTGTGACCAATTTTTAGTAATTTCATACAACGTCTCCAATCATTATTCATGATAATTACATGAATTCAAACTAGGACGTTGGCATTAGACAGTGGCTACATGAAATGATTCTACGTTTTAGTTTCGCCGACCTTATACATAATTATAACATATGTACTTACCATCCGTATGTGGGTGTATAATTTTACGGAAATGAAGTTTATTACACCGTTTCTTATCACCAGTTCGTGATTTAACTTTTGAGCATTCAGTACGGGTACCATAAGAACAAAACTGTTGTACTTGACTGCCTAAAATTAATATATATATATATATATATATATATATATATATATATATATATATATATATATATATATATATATATATATATATGTCTCGGTAAATGATAATTTAGAAAAAACAGTATCAATAAATACACCAAATATAATATGTAATCAATATGATGAACAAACTATCCACCGAATTCTCAATACTGGAACATGATGATTATTCAGTGGTTTGTATTTACCAGTCACTTTTTTTAATTATGTGATCACTGGAAATTATTTCCTGAAAGTGATTTAATTTGATTCCTGTTCTAAATCTTTCAATCTTTCTTGGTACTCTTCAGTAGTGGACATTCGAATCTACGATCCTTAAATCTCTATCTATGACAATTGAGGTGTGTTCACTAGTGAGTAAGTTAGGGGAGTTTAAAGGGGAAATTCGTGACCGGATAGGATCACACCATGTCAGGAATAAGACAGATGATATTAGATCACAACAGGTGGAATTTTAAGGAAGGCAAAGGGTTATAGTAGACAGCTATTCAAATAATTAGTTTTCTAAAGATTTCATATAGTACTCGGTAGCGGTTTGAGAATTCTAAGCAATAAATATTTTGACAGGTCTGTTTCTAATTCGAACGCTTGACACTCACTTCATAGCTGGTTTCTAGTTTGCGAGAATTCTCCCACACTGGAGCTTCGAACGGTAGGAAAAAGGAGCAAAGTAAAAAAAAGTCCAGGGCTCATTGATGTACAGAAAACAACAGCAATTATAGATTTATCAGTAACCTTTGACCTCCGGAAGCATGCTAATTTAAGTACCAGAGTAAGAAGTCAATCAAAGTGTGATAATCTGTCCATCTACTAAACATTTTCGTGGCGTATGCTGATTGGACGAAATGTCCGCATATATGTCCTGACTTATGAAGACCCTAACGAGGAATTCTCGACAGATCCCAAATATCTCTGTAGTTACATCTGTGAGTTTTATAAACTGTAAAGAGATTCACTGAAAAGCACTCATTCTATATAATGGTATAGAAAATAGTAAAAGCAATAGAGTTTAGTAAAAAAGATCTTGTGGAGATTGATTTGTAAAATATACTGGTCACAGATTGACCTCAGTTGAGGTATTAATGAAAACCAAGAAGCACTGGGCGGTTGGCCCGATGGTTCTACTGATTAAGCGTTGGCAACGAGACCTGAAAGTCATGAATTCGGTCTCTGTTGGGGTTACATGTGTACAGTGCTAAGTAGCCTAATACTGTGGCGAAACGACTGTCCAATTCTCCTTGGCTCTCAACGGTGCATCAACTGAGATCAAACTGTAACGAATAAAACACATGGAACCAATAAGTGAAGTGCTAGAGATTAGAATGAGATAGTTCTTCTTTGAGTATCTCACCTACATAATAAAGTGATATCGGTTGAAGGACAGGTGAAAAGTGAAAGTGAACTGGGCATTTCTATCGTAATAATTTTCTCTTGTTACAGAACAGTTCACACCAACCGACTATTCACAAGATCTAGTCAAGAACTATTCAACGTCTGTAGCAATTAGTCAAATAACTCAACATTAAAAAATATTGTCTCATCTCAACAATATCGTGATATGATTTTTTAGTCAAATATGCTAACTAATTAACATGTTTTTATTATGTATTTGATGAATTAAATAGATGCATTCAATTTAAATATACATAAAGACATACCTCCTTGAGTTCGGAAACGTTCGGTTAGGAATCTTTCCTGTAAAGAATATTTGAAGATAGAAAAAAGATATACTTTACATATATATCATTCCAGAAAGCTGTTATACATGGGAAGTATACATACTGTAACGTTAAAAGAGGCAAAGGTAAGAGTTACAACCACAAAAGTGATGTGTCCTGTGAGGATGAGAAATGGTTGAGTAGGAAGAGCAGACAGATAGATTTGTGTATTTTAATCTATATTTGTCCAACACTGGTTATAAATTGGTTGAATGAGAGCGTATCATATGATGTTCTCGGTCTATTGACTGAGAGACCAGTTTAGTGTTTGATTCTGAATCTTTAATTATCTATTATTTGGTATAGAGTGACTAAGTGTCCAGTGTAGGATCGTGGACGAAAAAACTTGAAATCTTCCGTCCTAACAAAACAGTATAAAATTGACGGATATACGCACTTAATAAACAAAACAGAGCATCGTACTATCCACCCAACTATAGTTTCAAGATAGACAAACGAATATTTTGTGAGAAGTTCATTTTTAAAGGGACATCTATAAGACATCAGTCAACGAAATCGCGTTTTTTTACATATATCAAACAATTTTGAATCGTTTTACTGTATTAGTTTGAGTGGTTTTAGCTTTGGTCAATGTCAGAACTAAAGGTACATTGAGTTCATTGATATACTGTAATCTAATGTGCTATATCCCTGAAGTTATTATTATTGTTATTAAGACCAACTCACTTTTCGAAGTACAGATCTGTACAATCGACTTTTGGCTACACTCTAAGTGTGAGAAAGTGATACTGCATGGTTGGTTAAACTGAAGTAGATGTATGGAATTCGAACCTGAAACTCAGTGGCTGAAAGTCGAATATCTTAAACACTAAACCACATTTAGGTTTATAATTCCGATGTTCTTGAGAACAATACTCCATCAGTTGAAGCAATAGACCCCCAAATATTGGTTCATAAGTTCAAAGCAGTCGTTAGCACAAACAACATTCAACCATGAGTTTAAACCAGCTGTCTATATTTTACCACGAATAGCTCAATTGAGATACTTTTGATTCTTATACACAGTGACAAACGCTCAATTCTTTGCAGAAATCAGTAGTTAGAGACCTTGGGTGATATAGCTCAGAATAGTTCGCAGTGGCACAGACACACTCACTATTCATCTTCTTGATGCTGAATTCCAATTTTCCTTCACGAATACTTTTCCATTCTATCTTCTCTATATTTCTACGGTTTAGTGATTTCTTCCATAATTCCTACACTATTTTGATGTCTTTTGTTACTTTTATGTTGTGGTGCTAATTAAGTATAGGAATCTAGGCCAATGAACATCTGTTTCACGCTCTATATTGATGATTTCTCTGTTTGTTTATCCATTGCAGTGTAATTATTCAATGACAGATTTCGTAAATGTTTTTAAGTCAATATATTCCATCAGTTCATCTACAATAACTCTTTTCTAATTGATCAAGCAAAGAGTACTTGAATTAGAATACATTTATCTCGTTTTTTTTCAGAAGATAGATAAACACGAAAGTATGGCAAAAATAATAGTATTTCTATTTGAAATGTCCATTATTTAACTTCAAGATAATTTGTAATTCTTCTTATAGTGGCCCTTGAATGTATACAATTAGTAATCATAACTATCCAGTTTTAAGAAAATGTAAAACGAGTGAATTAATTACAATGTTTACCCCATCAAAAGATAAAAAACAAATGGTTGGAATGTTGAAGTAAAGCTTCTGTCTTGTAGATGAACTGAATCGCAGAAGATAACAATCCTACCCAGATAAGCAATATACATTCATAAAGAAGAGATTAGAAGTTTCTATAAACTTGTCAACTAATCTCTTGTTCAGTCGGCTACAACGTAGGACTAGGTACAAATATGCATCGTTCTAAGTTGCCATACCCCAATAGCACAACAAGATCAACACTAAATTCATAGAAGCCATTACTTTAATGGTAGTAAAAACAGATTTCATATAAGATATGATACAAGGAGAAACACTTAGTTCGTAGAGTGAGAGGTATAAAGCAATTTTAATCTCATGGTTTAAGGGAAGACAGGGAGTGTATACACCGACGCCATTGTGGTCGATTCTGAGCCATGTCACCCAGAGTCTCCAAGCACTGGTTACGATGGACGCGCGAACCCCAACCAAGTATTCTGCATATACCAACATGGCTCGGACAAGAAGCTAGTGACCTTATGGATTGATGCCACGTTTTAATTGCAAAATAATAATATGGAATACATGAAATTAATTCAATATACAATTACTTTGGTCGATTGCCTGTTTAATAATTCCATAACTTCTTCACGTATTCGTTTACTTTCTTTTTCACGTATCGTTTCAGCACCCAACAGATTTTCTAAATCAAATTCTATTTCATGATTAGTCTCTTTTATAGTAGATTGATAATGATTACATTTATCATTAGGTGGACGTTTATTTCTATCGGATATTGACTCATTATTTTCACATTGTTTTCTGATATTAGAAAAATTGGATTTCCGTTCACAGTCTATTGGCGTTGTTTCTGATGTATGGATTACGTGTTGATGTGATGTTTTCAATTGTTGAATACTGCTATGAAAGAAATTAAGTTTTACAATACAACATGACAATTTTACATGTGATTTAATCGAGAACATAACACAGTGAGGTGTTATATATAGATATATACATGTATGAGCAGTAATTGTTACTATGAGTTTAACTATATAACATAATGGGTATTTATTAATTGTACATGAAAGAGAAAACTGTCGATTTACTTAACTATGATTAAAGTCAGACTGCGAAAGATTTGATTAACTGTGATACAATCACTACAAGACCTAGAGGTTGTAGTTTCGATGACGGAGTCAATGAAGTAAACTCCTATGAGACTTTTGGTATTGCACGACATCGCTAAGCGCCCTAAACAGTTTTTGAAGAGTGAAAACGGTTCTTATCACAGACCTCTAAGCTATAATGAAACAGCTACTCAATGCTACCAGATTTTCAATGGTTCTCCAACTGGCGTCAATTCGTGACCAAAAAATTTGTTTGTTAACAAATAGCATGGAATTAAGAAGGTACACTAGAAGAATATTCCAATGACCAGTTAAATATTTCATAGAAGACAAATGCCAATTAATACAGAGAAATGAATGACTTAAATTATTATATTGTGAAAATCACCCATTTGCAATATATGCAATTTGTCATTAAAATGGGAGAAAAAATGGTTCAGATTTTAAGGTCACACGTGGATAATTCGTATCAGAAAATCACAGTATTCAAGCCAACAAAGAGGTTTTACTTATTCAGTACAGAATAACATGAGTTAATAAATTTTTTCCACAGAACTACAGTGATCATATAACTCACTAATTCATCATAATTCTACATATTATCTTTGTTTATGCTTCAGTGACTAGTAGTGAATTATGTATGGTTAGTAAACGTATGATATAAATCTAATCAGTAGGCATAAACTTGGATTTCCAAATATTCTGCTCTAAAGTTCAATATTTATCGATTTCAAGTAGACCATGAAACTTCGTGAAACAGACAAATTTATATACTGGTTTATCAGTCTTTTACAGATGTTATTAAAATCCTGTATTTTAGATTTAACGATTGCCCACCAAATGCCCTGGTACGACCGAGGGTGAGGAAAGTCAGCTCTCCCTCTCCAAATGCTCTCATATGGCCACACGTACACAACCACTGTCATGGAAGTCCTACTCACTGCCTTCTCGTGGCACGGGTGTTCTTTACAAGATTAAGTGAACGAAAGGCTAATGTCCAGCACTTTAACCTGGTTGGTGAACACGGAGGGTCCACTTACAGGAGTTGGAAAACCCTGATTCTAAACCAATGGTGCACATCGGTTCCAGTTTCCTGAAAAAAACAAATGGCGTATGAACCAATTGTTGGTCACCGGCTACCATAGGAATACATCTCCTGACGTTGCTCCACTGCCTTGTGCATCAGACCTTTAGGTCGAAGGCTCGGGGTGTGGCCCCCTAAGAAAACCACTTGTTTCGGTTTGTGCACCCGGACAATATCATAGCCCACACACAAATCAAGTGACTCGTGTGGCGTTTATGTACCGATATTGGTGTCCAAATAAATAAATAAGATTTATTGATTGAAATTCTTATCTTCACGCAACAAAATTTCATTACAGATCCATTGCCCATACTTCAAGTAATGACTATGACTTCTCTTTTGTTATTTACTTTGTCTTTGCCGTTATTTTCTTTCAGATATTACAGAATCAATAAGAAAGTTATGCATACGAATGAGTCCTATTAACTTAACTTTTATAGAAACAGTAAAAGGTCTTTTACGAAAAGTCAATCTTTATTTTATTATAGTAATTGTGGAACAAGTACGATTCGGGATGTTGTTATCGTACATCGCTAGCTCACATTAAGTTTGCGCAATGCATAGAGCTAACATCTTATTTCTACCAAGCATTGTAGGACCGAAAACCCAATGTGGAATCCGATGACGATGTTCAGCTACCTTAAATAGAATGGGTGATACAAAATTCAAATATAGGATACATTAGATCTACTATGGAACAACTATACATTATTTCCACTCTCTGATATTGTCTTTAAATAAAATACGTTTTCGAAGAAAAACTTTGCTAGTTAAATATGGCAGTTGTATTACTTACCTTGACTGTTTAGGGATTGATTTTTCGAAATCAGCTGATCCAAGTAACCGAGTAATTAGTTAAGATCAACATAGAGGGTACAGTTGGTTGAAAAAAAGAGGAAAAATGAGTAAAACTTATCGAAAACGAAGTCTAGATTATTTCATCACAGGATGTTGATAAGATAAAACTTGGTATGAAAAATAGTGGGAATTATGAATCATAAAAACGCATCAGAATCATGTGATCAGTGATACTGTAGTGAACAGAACACGAGTGGGGACAATCGAATGTATTTGACACTAAACTACAGGACTTGTTAATAAAATCTAACAATCATATAGTAAATGCTTAATTTGCAAAATGTGCATCAATTGCCTCAAAATGTCTCAGACTTCATTGTTCTTACATTTCCATACAAATTGCATTTTGTCTCCATTCTTTACTGTTCGATCATCTTGTCTCTCTGCTGCCAGACATTCTGTTCATGACTAACGTCACATACTACTTATGTCGATATAGGTAGTACACACCACAATACCATATGGCCCGATTTTTTTCAGTAAGAACAGTTTAGTAAACACTTAATAAACCTAAATTATTATGGACGAAATAAATGTTCCATATTTAGATTATACTAAGCTAGTTGGTCAGGTTATTCCCTGCAAGTGATAGTTCACTAGCCATAGTAAAAACAGTATCGATCGCCTGTTTACACTAGTATTATTTTAGGTATCATTAAGACGGTGTAAAAATTTGGGCATAAAATTCGAATGTTACGAACTATTTGAGGTTTGGAGATAGTGTATACTTCTCAAAGTTAGGAATTGTAAAGCTCGTAGTCATATACAAGTTAATAGCTTAAACTAAGTGGTAGTCACAAATGTCGTGTTTGTCTAGTGATGATAGAATTCTATCGGTCTAGTTGTAATGAGGCCACTAGTCTGAATGACTTGACATCGCATAAACATAAGGGAAGATAAATTGCGAATGCATCCATGACGTTGCAACCGATTATAAGCTACATCACCCAACAACGCTAATCGTCACTCATGATAGTTGGGTGAACTCCAGCCAGGTAGTTTGTAACTACTAATATATAATACATTTATAAATCCGAGTCACAACTTCACGTGGATGCTCTTAGCTTCCTCCTAACTTGCACTAGCCAACACTGCATTCCATTCATTTTGTATCTCAATTTCTTGTTAAGTAGAACAATTATAAGTTTACATTTGTTACCCTGTAAACATGGTATGAATCTTTCCTTCCAAATAGTTAATAAAGATATTTCAAGTTACAAGCGACTAGACAACATCTATGACACAAATAAACTTATATTTATTCTTTTATGACTAATGTTGTTCTTACTCTACTGAAAGTAACAGAGTTATACATCTTATTTGCAGTAGGAAAACTCATAATAAGTCAACTAAATCACTTACATGATTTATCGAGTAAATTACAACTGTGATCTGATTGTTTCGAATCGACAGTAGATACATTTTGCGATTTGTGACAGGGACATTTTCCAATATTATCACAGCTACTAGATGACGAATTCAATAATCCTGGTAAAGAAGTTATATTCGACTGAGAATGAACTGAAAGTGTATCAGACGACACACTCGTTATATTATTATCACCAAGTTTTCGTTTCAATGCATTCTCGATAACAGAAACAGTTGACTGGTTAACATTAAAAGGTTTGTTAATTGAACCGATTCCAGTACTGCTATTATTTGTAAGTAAGGAAGCGGAAGACGAAGTTTTAGTAGAATGGGTAACAGAAGCTAAAAGTTGACGTCTTGCAGCTAAACGTTCACGTAAAGAATTCTGTTTAGCTTTAGCTGCTTCAACAGAATCTAAAGCAGAATTTTCAATTGGAACAGAGGCAGGAGTGGGATTGTGTGACATTTTCGACATCTCTACATGGAGGTTGAGAATAAAATGTTCGAAATGTGTTAGCGAACAAAAACATATATAGGTTGTCTTTCTTAAACTTAACGTTGTTTATCTCATGAATAGGAATAAACTGCATTGAAAACAACTTTCACCACAATAAACTAATGAATTTTTAATCGTATGTGCAGTTACTGACTATTTGATTGTAACAACAAACCAACAATGGCTCCAGGAGATCTTTAATTTCGGTCAGATAGGTTTTATATAACGTTTAAAACAGCTTTGCTCTGGTAATTTACATACATTATTATTGAATATTACATTAGGTGCATTTATACGACTGAACAACAAAGATTTTTAGGAATATAGAGATGTTAAAATAATCGACATTTCATGCAGATAGACATGATTGTTAAATGAGGATCACGAAATGTGCCGTGAGTTACAAACACCTACCAATTAATTAATTCTACGATTTAGGATGTTAGTGATAAGAGTGACTGTTTAAAAATATAAATCGTTTAGTGGTGATGGGAATTTAGGATCATGATCTATGGAAAAATATTTTGTCACAAGTCACAGAAACGTCTAAACTATTAATACTATCCAGTTACTGCTCTCGTCAATGTAATAAAACAGCTATATCTCACAACATTAAACAAACCTCAGCAATGGAGTATTTATCTGTGCATCATCACAATAAACACTTCATGCAAGAAGTAGACAGGGCGGCGATATACTGGTAAGCACGCTTACTTTCGTAGACCAAACTGTTGCATAGTTTAGATTGACTAGAGGAAATGAAGCTTTCGAACGCATTTATTACTTAATTTATCATTAACCCTTCTGAATTGGTGTCTGAAAAAATCTCAGCACAGATTTAGAAAGGTTGCTTGACTTTCGTAAACTTGTATCTTTTGTATATTGTGACCACCGATTGAACAATGTCAAGGTAGGACGTAGGGAAATAGGAGAAGAGTGCAAATCAACCGGTGAGGTGAATATTCATCGACTGAGGTAGTTCGGATATGTTGAGTATGCTTAGCTAATACCTACCCCTATATGCAATCATGAGGAGCTGTTTGACGGTGAACTAGAGAAAAAAACGAAAAAGTGGAACTATTGGGTTTTGGACACGTTATTGGGGTCCGCAGAATGACCGTTTCCAACCAATGATCGAGGGGAATGCGATCAAATGGTCTGAATTTAGCGGCACGGCTGAGACTGACGACCAGTTACTTTGTATGTTGATAATATTTTCTGGTTATCTATGGTATTCTAAAAGGAAGAAGAAGCTACTATGGAGGACAACTGGGAAGGTATCAAAAAAGCATTAACCTCAACGTGTCAAGAGGTTCTGGGCCTAAAGAAACACCATCATAAAGAATGGATCTCTACAGAAACACTGGACAAGATCAAAGAAAGGAAGAACAAGAAGGCAGCAATTAATAACACCCGAACACGAGCACAGAAAGTCCAAGCACAAGCTGAATACATAGAAGCAAACGAGCAAGTGAAGAGGAGCATTAGAGCCGACAGGAAGAAATACGTGGAAGAATTAGCAACGAGGGCAGAAAAAACTGCTTGAGAAGGGAATATGAAACAGCTTTACGATACGACGAAACTATCAGGGAAATACAGTAAACCAGAGAGACCGGTCAAAGACAAAGAAGGCAAGCCAATCACTGAAATTCAACAACAGCGGAACAGATGGGTGGAGTACTTCGAGGAACTCCTGAATAGGCCAGCTTCAATGAATCCACCGGACATCGAAGCAGCACACATAGATCTTCCTATAGATGTCAACCCACCAACGAAGGAAGAAATCAGAATGGTCGTCAGACAAATCAAGAACGGGAAAGCAGCAGGACCCGACAACATACCAGCTGAAGCACTGAAGTCAGACATCGAAGTAACCACAAGCATGCTTTACCTTCTATTCAAAAAGATTTAGGAGGAGGAACAAGTGCCGATGGACTGGAAAGAAGGACACCTCGTCAAGATTCCAAAGAAAGGAGATCTGAGCCAATGTGAAAACTACAAAGGCATTACACTACTGTCAATACCAGGGAAGGTCTTTAACAGAGTGTTGCTGAACCGCATGAAAGGCGCAGCAGACGCTCAACTTCGAGACCAACAAGCTGGATTCCGTAAGGACCGGTTGTGCACAGATCAAATTGCGACACTATGGATCATCGTCGAACAATCAGTTGAGTGGAACTCGTCACTATTCATCAACTTCATTGATTATGAAAAGGCGTTTGACAGTGTAGATAGGAGGACGTTATGGAAACTTCTTCGACACTATGGAGTTCTTGAGAACATTGTCAATATTATCCGGAACTCATACGACGGACTACAATGCAAAGTCGTGCATGGAGGACTGCTGACAGATGCATTCCAAGTAAGGACCAGAGTCAGACAAGGCTGTTTACTCTCTCCCTTCCTCTTTCTTCTGGTGGTCGACTGGATTATGAGGACCTCGACATCTGAAGGAAAACACGGCATACAATGGACAGCTCAGAATCAATTAAACGATTTGGACTTCGCAGGTGACCTAGCCCTCCTATCGCATACACACGAACAGATGCAGATAAAGGCAGCCAGTGTAGCAGCAGTCTCTGCATCGGTAGACCTCAACATACACAAGGGGAAAACCAAGGTCCTCAAATACAACACGGAGAAAAGCAACCCAATCACTCTTGATGGTGAAATTTAGGAAGATGTAGAATCCTTCACATACCTGGGAAGCATCATCGATGAACAAGGAGGTTCAGATGCAGACGTAAAGACGAGGACTGACAAAACAAGGCCCACATTCCTACAATTGAAGAACATATGGAACACAAAACAACTTTCAACCAATATCAAAGTAAGAATCTTCAGTACGAACGTCAAGGCAGTTCTACTGTATGCAGCTGAAACTTGAAGAACTACAACAACCATCATCAAGAAGGTACAAGTATTTATAAATAGTTATCCATGCAAGGTACTCAACGTCAACTGGCCGGATACCATCAGCAACAGCCGTTTGTGGGAGAACAAACCAGCTTCCAGCTGAAGAGGAAATTAGGAAAAAACGATGGAAATGGGTAGGACATACATCACGTAAATCATCAAACGGCGTCACGAGGCAAGCCCTAACTTGGATCCTGAAGGGAAGCGGAAAAGGGGAAGGCCAAAGAACACATTACGTCGGATAATAGAAGCAGATATGAAAAGGATGAATAACAACTGGAAGGAGCTGGAAAGGATTGCCCAGGACAAGGTTGGATGGAGAATGCTGGTGAGCGGCCTATGCTCCTTCACGAGTAACAGGCGTAAGTAAGTAAGTATGGTGTTCTAGTGGCCTCCTCCAACTATACTACATCATATCTCAGAAACTGCAACACTGATCAGTAGATTGTGGAAAGCACTTTCTACTAAGGAACACTACACTTAATTGTCATTATCCTGCATTCAAACTTTTAGTGCTTTTAAGAGTTTATTAGATAAAGACCAAAATCTAGGGAACGTTCCAAATAGTACTATTTGGCAAAATATATTCTATGATACATATCTAATTAGCTGGAAAGACTAAATCAGTTACCTTACAGCTAAGAAACTATTTATTATAGCGATCACAGTTTTATGGCATCTGAACTTAATTACCGAGTTATTTGGTGATTGAAAAGTTTGGCGAATTCCCTTGAAATTCACTGAAAAGGCCCCAACAGATCTCAGTCGTCCTGTTATTTGTATGCATAACTACATAACATAATTAAAGGTTCATTTGCATTCAGTGAATACAAATTCCAAAAAACCAGGTAGGAATATAGATTAATTGGATGAATGGAGACTAGCCCGGACAATATTATAATATTGTCATTATAATGACACTTGAAAGGAAGTAAGACAAAAATCATGGTCTCAACATAACATATTATTTGTTAACATTAATATGCGCACAGTTATATGAATATATATAATCATATTTTGTTATTTACGGACCAAGTATTACCGGTAATACAGACGAATGCCCGTCCTTGACCGGAAGGGTAACCTTCAGCTTTGCAATGTTGCTTCTCTGAATACTCAATATACAATAACATTCTGAAGAGTCGGTGTGAACTAATTAGTTTCATAGATCCCTCAGGTTGTGGTAGGTGTAGTTTGAGCCGTTTGATGTTATTTATTGTGTGTAGTACAGTCATTTGGCTGAACTAATCCTTGTAAATGTGACAGTCACTTGGAAGTCCACCTGTCTTGAGTTTAAGCGAATGCGTTCCTTATGTGGTCATGGGGATGCCGAGACCGTTAACTATCAAGTTGTACTATCGCCGAAGGATTGTTTGTGACACTCAGAATTTTAAATGGAAATATAAATAAGTGTAGGGAGGACAAGGGTTCAAGATCAGTAAGTAAATTAATAAACGACCTGCTTCTACTCCTTCGAACTTCGTCGGACTCGAGGGGCTGAATAAAATATATGATGACATGCAGCTGATCACTGTTTCACCACGATACGGCAGGGATTGTCACTGACTAAAGAAATAATGGATCCTCGGAACTTAAATTCTTGAAATATCATCCGGGCAGCAAAACGAATAATACTGTTGCTTTCGGTTAGTAGAGGTGAAGAAATCCATAAAAGTGGATAATTTTGTAAGTCTTCGACGTTAAGTCTGACGAATATAGTTTTGTTGAATACGTCTCTAGCTTATAACTCTCACACAAGATTACGTCTGGGTATACCGTCATGCATATTTCTTACGATAACTAGTAGGCTCAGATTACACAGATCTTAACGACCCGACCATTTCTCAAATATACCTGACCATTCTTTTACCTCTAACAATTGACTTGACTGTCTTTGAGATCCCCAAATAAAATGAATATTCGTACAATAACGTTAGCAAGCACTGTAAAATTAAGGAATTTTTAGGTTTTTGAGAGGATGGTTGGATGTCCATCCTATATACACGGACGAATTAAATATGCGACAAATTGGGTAGTATAAATTTGTGTGGTGTCTGATCTAGTAAAGTCATCAACACAATTCTCTTTGATCGAGCGAGGCGCTTGGTTTAGGGTGACCACTACTCCTTGTGATTATCTAATTGTGCATGTCCTCGACCCATAGTTTTTGTTACACGGTAGACATTTTGGACTCGATTCCTTCCTCTCAAGTCCTGTTGTTTGACATCACACTCAAACACTCCTGATCTTTAATAGTGACTCTAGGTATTTAAATAAGACTTTATTATGAATACTGTGTTCTTATTCATGAGGTACAGGCTGACATTATAACGGGGCAGGATTTTTAAAAATGGAACTTTCGGAACTGTTCTTATTCACTCACACACTTGAGCTCGTCATTCTTCTTAGAAGCATAGGTCACAGACCAGGACTCTCCAACTGATCCTGCCCTGGGCCCTCAGCTTCAGTTGCTTCCAACTACTACTCATTCTTTCTATGTCTGTCTTCAATTCCCTGCTCAACGTGTTCTTTTCTTCGTACATTCAGGATTCCGAGAAAGGGCTTGCCCCGTGGTGTTGTGTGGTGATTGACGTAATGTGTGGGCTGCCCAGCTCAAGCATCACTTCCCAACTTTGTCCTCAGCTGCAATTTGGATAGCTATTGACGCAATAAGTTGTTGCTGATGTTATTCGGTCAACCGATATTGATTACCTTGCGTAGACGATTGCTTACAAATAATCGTACATTTTTTATTATGTATGTAGGAACTTTTCAAAGCTGCTGCCATACATCTTCCTAGATATTTCTGTCAAAAATTGTGAATGGCTTTGGATGAAATTTTTATTCAGTTCAATATGTTTTTAAACTTAAGGGATGCTACCCTTGTTTTGTCAATCAATACATCCTTGGTATAAGTGAAAATGTACAGACATAAAATGAACATTTACGAGTTCAAATAGTGTAGTTGCGACCAAGCTGTCCATTGTATTCAGTGCTTCCCATCCGACGTCTGCATCATCCAGTCAGCCGCTGGCTGACAGGGAAAGAGAGAAGCTAAGTAGCCTAGTCCAACTATGGTTCACACTTGAAATGCGACCGTGAGCTGTCCTTCATGCACGATTTTTACAGTTCAATCTGTAGCGTGGCGTCGTGTTGAGATTAACTATGAACACCGCTACCAAGAAACACGTGCCAAATAGATCAGAAGGCGTAAGAAGCTCGTTCCAAATGACTCCATAAAATCCCCGAGAAGCCGAATACCAGAAGGCAATTAATGGACCAAGTCGAGGTTTATTAGCTGGCGATCTCGTGGCATCGAAAGGATACCGAGATCGTGCCAGGATACAACCTTGGTTACAGAACGTAACCGAATTCGCGCGAAGTTACAATCGAAGTGTAAGCGAAAGAATGGAAGCACAAAATAGCTGTCATTAGCACAGTCAAACAAAAGCACATTAAAACAAACACTGGTACAGTTGGTTATAATAATAATTGTTTTTATTAAACCAGTCGTGTTCTCGTGATAAACGTGAGTCACTACAGGAGCCCCCCGCTAGAAAGGGTTTACACTTTCGATAAACAGCGGTTTGAATCGTGGGACTGATCAGCTGACGAGCGATTGTAGGACGGAAGAATTGGCGAACAGGAAAGCGATCGTTGATCGTCGAGTTGCCAACGAAGGTCGTTTTCGGAGAACAGTACCAGGAGCGATGTGTTGTATTTATTGCTCGAATTGGCATGCTACACCAGAGTGGTTTGTATCCAGAATCTGAAGAGGGCGTTCGTAGATGTGCGCACCAGAAACGCTGCAGACGTAGGACGAAACCACGTTGAGCCAAAAGACCAGAAGCGACCGTAACGACCAAGTTCGAGACCAAGCGTATGCCAAGCATTCGAAACCAATATATCGACTGAGTGCGTTGACAAGAGCATGGGTGGCCAATCCAGCTTTCGCCAAAGTTGACTGAAGTCGACGGAACCAAACGGAGATGGTCGAAGGCGTGGGCTCAGGAAACAAAAAGAAAATCAAAAAAAGAAGAGTGTAGCATACGTGTAGTATAGGAATAATCCTACACCGTATCGGTTGTTGACTGTGCGACTAGTCGCGGAGGCGTACGGGTAACCGTACTCGGCGACCGGAACGTGAGACGGCAGTCTCGTTCGTATTTCGTGAGCCTGCAATCTCATCCGAGGTCAGAGGCGGCGTGGTCTGCTGATCTGGACGTGAGACTGTCGTCTCGTCCGTAGAGGGTGCAGATGATGCGTGCTGTTGACCGGGACGTGAGAATGAGGTCTCAGATACATCTAGCGTGGGACCTGAAGAAGATTTAAGGATCCCGCTAGGTTTGATAGGTCTAGCATTGAATCTCAGGGTGTCAGATAGGGCACTGTCATCGACGTGTGCTGGTTCGAGACGATCAATGCTGACGATCTCGACGCGTCCATATCGATCAACCTTGAAGGTCTTTTCGTGACGAGCGATCACGTGAAAAGGGCCTTCGTAAGGTTGTTGCCATGGTTGGCGTACCGAATCTACTTGTACAAAAACATGTGAACAGGTAGATAACTCTCGAGGGAGAGCGACCTGTCGATGTTGTATTCGAGTTGACACCGGAGACAGCGTTCGCATAAATGCAGACAGTCGATGGACGTAGTCTGATTTACGGAAATTAGGTCTGCTCCGTGGTGTGAAGAATTCTCCGGGCAGACGCAATGTCGTGCCGTATACAAGTTCAGTGGCGGAACATTGGATATCTGCCTTTAAGCTCGTTCTCGCCCCTAAAAGAACGAGCGGTATGGTTTCGTGCCAGTTGCCGTTTTCGTGTGCTCGTAGAACACTTTTAAGTTGGCAGTGAAACCGTTCAACTTAACCATTTGGTGCTGGGTGGTAGACGGAGATGCTTATGCGTATGCATTCCGTACCAAGCAGCCGGGTCAGCGAGGAGAATCGTTAATAGGGTAACATTTCTCGAATGAAGCGTGGAATTCATCATCACGCGAATAAAAAGTGACAAGGATTCGGTACACATACGTGTGAGTCTATTATATTAATACTATTCTTATCGTTATCCGTCATGTCGCGTATATTATATATTAAAAATATGAAAATATACGACAGACGTGGATAGATAAATCATAGACTCACCGAATTGGCTTCTTTGGAAGATTTGATCAGAAGTTGAATCGTGTTCCAAAATACGGCTCACCAATTGTAGTTGAATTGGGATTACCAATTGTAGCGTGGTGTCGAGTTGAGATTAACTATGAACACCGCTACCAAGAAACACGTGCCAAATAGATCAGAAGGCGTAAGAAGCTCGTTCCAAATGACTCCATAAAATCCCCGAGAAGCCGAATACCAGAAGGCAATTAATGGACCAAGTCGAGGTTTATTAGCTGGCGATCTCGTGGCATCGAAAGGATACCGAGATCGTGCCAGGATACAACCTTGGTTACAGAACGTAACCGAATTCGCGCGAAGTTACAATCGAAGTGTAAGCGAAAGAATGGAAGCACAAAATAGCTGTCATTAGCACAGTCAAACAAAAGCACATTAAAACAAACACTGGTACAGTTGGTTATAATAATAATTGTTTTTATTAAACCAGTCGTGTTCTCGTGATAAACGTGAGTCACTACAAATCCATCAGAGGAACGCCGTATGTTATCGATCATCTCAGGCACGCACAAGTGTCGTTAATTGCTCACTTATTATTATTATTCCTTTCTTGAACCTTGTGCAGGGTTTTGAGTGTGATCCACTTCTTATGCTGATACTTCTTGTGGTCCGAAACCTTCTGGAATGTCGAAATTAATGCTCCTTTGATCCTCGTCCAGTTGTTTTACATCGTAAATTCCTCTTCGTTGAGTAGATTTTGTGAGGCTTCGAACCTGTTGTTGAGACTTATCTCGAATTGTTTGAGTTTGTCAGTATGTGGAACGAAGGCTGTATTGAACCTTTGTAAAACTGTTGTTCCAGTTCTTCATTGCTCATTTAGCTTCATTTTTATCTTGGCCACCAATAGACTGTAATCTGAAGCAATGTCAGCTCCTCTCCCGTTTCTCACGTCTTCCATTGATATTACGGATTTTCTATTGATGCAAATATGATCGATCTGGTTCTCTGTGGTGTCATCCAATGAGACCCACGTAGCTTTGTATATGCTTTTGTGAGGGAATATTGTGCCACTTTCAACCAGGTTGTTGGATGCACATACATTGACAAATCTCTTGCCATCCTAGGTCCTTTCTTCTAGTCACTGAAGAGCGTATTAGATTCAGAAAATAACATAAGATCACTCAATATAGTGACATGATTGACTTGACGAATGCGACTAAATTGGATGCAATATTTTTGACGAGGGGTCTTAAACAGGCAAAATTTAGCTCACATTTAAGAAATACTGATCCCGAAAATAACCTGACAACACCTAACAACTGCACAGAAGCTTTGAAATCAATCTCCTCATTCGCCTATTTTATCTCTTGTGTGGTGATTATATACTTTGATCACAGATTATAGAGCTTATTAATTCAATCTTACAAGTGAAGCTGAGGATAACCATCCTTTCTCAGTGCTCATTAAAAGCTGTTATGTCTTGTTGTTTGAATGCTACTTGTTATATCCAGTCGACGCTGATCGTTATGACGGAAACGCTTATCACATATACTCGGAACGACGAACCTCTGTAATTCCCACGACACGAAAGTAGGAACATAAGACTAGTATACGTGAAGATTTATTAACCCCAAAACACGACGACGATGGTCAAAAACACACTTGTTTATGTATTGATTGTACACACAATTTGTTTAATAATTAAGATGAAATCACACTTACGAAAAATAGTTAGACTTATAACAAATCATATACTGAGCATAGTTCATGTCAATTAAATACAAGAATATCGTATATTATACACAATAAAATATCATACGAGAAAAGAACACAATTGGTACACTAAATGATCATCACATTGAACCAAAACGGATGTTATGCTGAATAAAACTCATAATTAGTAAATCAATCGAATTTTGACTTCTTTCCATCTAATCGAACATGCGATATTTAGCATTCTTGCTCACTTTACTTTTTTCGTGCCTCATACAAGAGTGCGATTATCACTGGAGTCTTTATTTTAATCCTCTAAAGCTATCTACATACGTCTTCTGGGAATAAGATACTGTAGTGCAGTTCAAATTCTCTTATGAAAAAGCACAAAACATAGGAGAGCGAGCTTGAAATGAAATCCTTAGTGAAAGTTATGTTCTCACATCCAAAATTTACACAGTTAATGAACTGTAAAATGCTATATGTTGCACAGATATTGTACAGTGAAAAACAGATGAGCTACAATTTCACGGAAACATCTCATTCTAAAAGTTATCCTTTATTTTCTCCAATATTCATTGAGATAATGACTTTTTACAATAACTACTTTGTTCGGTTAGACAATTAATTAGCAACTAGAATAATATTAACGCGGCAAAATGAATGTAAGAGAAAATAAATTGTGAAATACTTGTTTTCATTGAGACCATAAATGTGGATGCCCACTGCTGAGGAGTCCCATAACAGGACGAAACGACCGTCTAGTGCTTCCAGGTTTTCGATGGTAGTCAAACATTAATCGATCCATGGTTGCGATTTAAAGTCATTCATTTCTACAGCCCTATGCCGACAATTACTTATTTCCCTGATTGAAATCATGAGTCAATTGAAGCTAGACCACCATGGAAAACCTGGAAGCACTGAACGGCCGTTTCGTCCTAGTATGGGACACCTCGGCAGTGCGCATTCACGATCCCGCAACCCGCAAGATTCGAACCCAGGACCTATCAGTCTCGCGCCAGGCGCTTAACCAACTAGACCGCTGAGCCGGCATCCAACGGTGTTAATTTCTAACTTCAACTAATCCACGAAGTTGCACCAACGTACACCATCGTCTTCAGTGAGTTGATATCTCACAACAGAACTGGTTGAAATCCACTGGTAACGGCTTCTCACTGCTGAGGAGTCCCATACTAGGACGAGACGGCCGTCCAGTGCTTCCAATTTTTCCATGATGGTCTAGCTTCAATCGGCTCATGATTTCAATCAGTGGAATTTCTAGAAATCTCCACGAAACCCCTTCTGATGATTATTTACTTGTTTATTTTCACTAAGGCTTTCAAGTCAATGTCAATTTAAAATATTACATTATAAATCTAACAATTCATCAGGCGACATAATTTGTTAACCAAGCTTTCAGGCATCACCTAAGTGACCTTGACCTAGCTTGTGTCACCGTCAGTTAATATGGGATTCAACTGTACAGTATGTGAGTAACATGAATATACTATCAATTTGCATAAGTAAAACGTAAAAAATCTATTAATATTTAGTGGCCCTATATCTGACTAAATGTGGATCGTTTCTGATTGCTATCAAATAATTGCTGTCGAAATATACATCCTGGCTACCCTCGTATATAATTATCGGTTTAATTCACGTTAGTGAATAACGTGAAGGAAGTGTATAGCAGAGAGAGGAGAGAAGCGGAATGACGCGCAGTGGAGAACGCATGTGAGCCTATTCTCTTCTCACCTATTCGCTTCCTTCACTCCATCTCTCCAATTGTCTGTGCAGATCAACGATTGTACGAAATGAACATATTCAAAACTTCATTCTGGTATTTGACTTATTTAATTGCGTTATACACTGACACGAGGTAAGTCGATAATTATATACGAGGATTGATGATATGTATATCTCAATAACAAACAGTAATACGATATTATTGGAGTAAGGTATCCGGCCACAAAAATCATACTTTGAAATTTAGACAGACCTCTCATTATAAATATATCAATATTTCTTTGTATCAGTTAAGATGTAAAATATAAATGTGTAACATGTTTTTCATTAAGTTCACCAAGTAATCCACATAGGGAAACTTTGAAATTCCAGTTATAATTTCATGATATTGACAATTTCTCATGACATTGCTGTAAACTCTTTCACTGGTTATAGTTTTAATAGAGTTCACTTCGTTTATTGTTATTTAACTATCCCAATACCTTAAAAATACAAATCGAATCGACTTCCACTTTCTACTTCAATATAAGTTATTTTTGGTTAATCTTAGTTCAACTTTTGAGAGTACTTTCTGTAGATTATGAACCGACTGTTGTTTGATAACCATTATAAAATTTGAACACACTGGATAGTCATTTCACTCTAGAGCTTTAAAAACTATTTTGCGGGCTACACACTATCTTGACAAGCGCAGATTCATTTTTTTGTATTGAGGCCCAGAAATAATATAGCTTTTGTTTACCAATGTAGATACGGTTTCGGCTGAATTCTCAGCAATTCAGTGAGGTATTATATTAAATATCACATTAAAAAATCCTTCTTTGAACAAAGCAGCTGTTGTCTAGTTGCTACTTTTTCAACAAAATAAATTCCAAGTTTCATACGTAATTACTTGACATCTAAACATAGTGCATGTGATGTCGAATCATGTGAACCATGTGAACGTGCTACATCGTATTTGATAGAGTTTAATTAGCACAACGGGATTAGCTAAACTTTGTATTAGACAATAATCAGTGATCATTTACTCGTAAATATCTCAGTTTTATCATAGAAAAGTAACTCCAAAAGCTTAATAGCAACAGCTCAGACTGCTAAGCAGTGTGATACAGCATAGAGCTCATGTGGGAACACCATGTCTCTCAAGACTACTAGTACATTCTGCTGACAACTATCTGTCGTATCACTAACATATTTCGTAATCAATTCATTTTAGAATACACTAAAACATATTCCAACTCAAAATGACTACTAAATTAGTTACAACAGAAACGTCTGGTGTAAAATTAGTATGATGTTTACAACTGAAATGGCAATCTGTAATGAAACACCCTGCATTTATATTTTAAATGTGTCTTTAATTTTCAAAAATCTATGACTTCACTGACTGATGTCATACCTTTGTTTGGTCACTGCTAGCTCTCTTCCAAACTCCTCGTACACCGGAAAACATACCCCATTAAAGTAGACAGTGGTTAGCTATGCGTAATATTTTCCTTAATAAAGTCAAGTGATGAATGGCTCAATTGAGGTAGTTAGGATAGACGCCAACAATGGTGGTGCGAAAATTCAGTCCTAAGTATGAAGTCATTTTTAGGAATAATATAATACATAACAGGGATAATTGTGTTTTCATTTTTTCCGTCTGTCTTCTCTAAAAGGTAATTCATGTTAACTATAGACTGGCTTCAATGTTTTACAGAACAGAGAATTCACCGTTGGAAAATTTTCGATTAATTCATAAGTCAATATTGTGCCTTGGCTTCATTCATTGAAGAATTTCATCCTTACATGCAGAATATATTCAAAATTTGTTCAGATACTACATAAAAAACATCTATTCGTTTTAATACTTAATGATAAACATAGTTAACACTCGACAGTTTAATCAAATGGCAAGAAGTTGAAAAAGTAAACATAAGTGTTATACTTTTTCTAAATTTTAATTATTGTATATCATTACATTTGTAGTAGTAGTGTGCGCTACTTATGTGGACAGATATAAGTAGTACATGATAGGCATCAGAAGTGGATTGCTTAACAGCAGTAGATTGAAATCTAGAAAGATGAAAAGAAAACAAAGAGAAATTGGGATAACAACAAGAATATAGGGATGATGGAGTATGTGAAGAACAACTCAAGGACAATATGCAAATGATGTATTTCATATATGACTTTTAAATTTTAGAAAGTCACTGTGTCCTTGAGTTTTCGTTCAATACATTATAACTCAATCCAAATACATATCTTACATTAGATTTAAATTAAACAAGGAAAAACAAAATAAACAATACAAAGAAAAATATAAGAACGTTGAACAAGCAGTTTTTAACCGACAATAGACATTTCCGAAATTACTTTTAATGATCACATCATATGAAACGAGTAAAACACACAATAATAATAATAGTAATAGTAATAGTAATAATAATAATAATAACAATAATAATAATAATAATAGTAATAAAGCAAGCGATCATTTGTGCTACATAAACAATCAGCCTAATTGATTTTCTTTGTAGATAAAAAAATAACATAGACAAACAATTACCGAAGCTACTTTTTTAATCATCAAAACACCCATAAAATGGAGATCACTAAACTATTGAGCTATAAATTCGTAATATCACAGTGAAATAATATTGGAAAAATAACTACTCTAAATGGAATCCTAAATTAATCTAGGCAAGATCATCATTAGTAACTCAGTAGTACTAGATGGTTGTTTGCTCATTGTATGAGGCTTTTCAGCAGCAAGCATTTATGATCAAGCATGTGGGAACCGAATCAAGGACTTTCGATGTTGCATGCGAACGCTTAGTCACTGAGCCGGCATCCAACGGTGTTAATGTCCAACTTCAATCAATCCATGATCTTGCGCGACCATTCTAGTAAGAAGCCGTGACCAATGGAGTCCAATCTGTGTTGGCTAGATATAGGTATCTACACCACAAAATGGATGAATGGTTGAGCACGACCATGGATCAATTGGAGTTAGATATTAACACCTTTGGATGCTGGCCGAGTGGTCTAGAGGTAAAGCGTTTGTGTGTAAAGCTGAAGACTCTGGGTTCGAATTCTGCATGCGTGATCGTGGATACACACTTCTGAGGAGTCTTATACTAGGACGAAAGTCCATGGGTTTGGATCCCACCTTCATCACAAACTTTCCTCAAAATGCTCTCGTAAGGCCGAGAGGGAAGAAAGTCAGCTCTCCCTCTCCAAATGCTCTCATATGGCCACACGTATACAACCACTGTCATGGAAGTCCTACTCACTGCCTTCTCGTGGCACCGGTGTTCTTTACAAGATTAAGTGAACGAAAGGCTAATGTCCAGCACTTTAACCTGGTTGGTGAACACGGAGGGTCCACTTACAGGAGTTGGAAAACCCTGATTCTAAACCAATGGTGCACATCGGTTCCAGTTTCCTGAAAAAAACAAATGGCGTATGAACCAATTGTTGGTCACCGGCTACCATGGGAATACATCTCCTGACGTTGCTCCACTGCCTTGTGCATCAGACCTTTAGGTCGAAGGCTCGGGGTGTGGCCCCCTAAGAAAATCACTTGTTTCGGTTTGTGCACCCGGACAATATCATAGCCCACACCCAAATCAAGTGACTTGTGTGGTACATATGTATTCGGTGCTCTTCTGTATCAATATCTATATGTGCAAATAAATAAATAAATAAAATAAGGACAAACTGAACATCCAGTGCTTCCATGTTATGAATGATGGTCTAGCTTAAATCGATTCGTGATCTCATCAGTACCAATCTGATTACTGATAACTTACAAAAAAAATCAGTCACAATGTTTCACATATTTTTCTCTTCATCAGTGATTTGTAAAAATGAAAGTTCATTGTTATAGAATTCATATATTGAATATACACTATGCGATAATAAAATACGATATTATAGCTACAACATTAATCGTGAACATTCTTAAATGAATATGAATGGCAAGTAATCATTGTTCTCTTTTTTATAAAAAAAACATCTTACTATACACAATTTAGATGGTCTTGTTATTGTACTGTTGTATTTTACCATCCAGAACTATTTACTCTAATCAAACATACAATAATAAATTAAATTAATATTATAATGATTAATTTTATAATTATCACAAGACATATATCTGAATTTCTACTCTTCAACTGACATAATTAAAGTCAATAATGAAGACATTATTATTACTATTATTTTCTTCAGTATTTTAACGTAACTTGTCAAGTAAACGTTTCACTTATTAACAATGACTCAATCATTTGTATATAAGCTTCAAATTCTCACTCCTTCTCCACCTCCCACCTCCGCCGAAAACCATCAAAATCAGTCTACTTACTGCGAAACATTATGATCTATACACATCAATTAATTTGCTGAATATTTACTGACTAGGTATACACTTGAAGAGTCTTGAAACTATGTTTCATTAAAGTATATATATATCATAAAAGCTTAGAATATAATACCACAATGTGAAAATACCAATAAAGTGAAAAACAACTTAATGAATAGAATGGAATCTTTATTACAAGCAAAGACAGATAGTGACTAGGACTGAAATCCGGTTTGAGGCGCGTTTGATCCTATTTGGAACTGGTCAGCTGAATGTACCTGCATCTCAGAGTTGATATTCACTTCAAAACTTGAACTCAGTACCGTTCGTTTCAAACGTTATTGCGTTATCCAATTAGCTACTGAATCTTGATAGCTACTCCCATATGCAATGGGGAAGGTACAAGCAAACAATACCAAGTGAATCGAATGAAGTCATTTGAAGTATTGTAAAATTATAAAAATTTTAATTGATTTTTAACAAACGAAATACTATTGAATTAAATACATAACAGTTTTGATCCATTATGCTTATTTACATGAATATGCTAAATGTTCTGATTAGACTGTTGTGTGATATGATGGAAAAATATCACTGTGTATGTGTGTGTGTTAGTTGCTTAAAGCTTAATCAATTTCATGACCTGAAGTTTGATGATTTCTTTCGTGATCTCACTAAAGCAGAGTAGTTATGGCTTTTGACCAACTAACTCCAGTTCCATTCGGTATTTAAGCAGAAAACGAATACATTTACTTCACAAGTTTATTCTTTCTTCTCAGAACATATTATTTATGTTTGATGTTCTTCTTACTACTTCTACAACATAGTCATTTATCTTGATAATTTCATCTCACTGTACTGAAATAGTTTGGTAAAGTGAGTAAATTTGTATATATACCAATCTTCTTAGCTCATGACTGGTTGGTCAATAAAATTAAATATAAAAGGCTAACTTTTCAATAAAAATTCTTTAAAGTAGGTATAATTCACGGTTGCAGACCTTATATTGTATAGCGTCAAATCATTTGCATTCATTCTTTATCTTCCTTGAAATGTCCAGTTTAACTTTGAATCTATTCAATTTGATAATCTAATATCACTCATTAATTTCCAACTAGATTTTTGATTGAATTTGATCTTATCACATGTAATCTGCGAACGAGGACAAGACTCTGTAACCAAAAACCAGTAAGCTAGCTATTGATGTGTCCCAGCCCCGATAACTAGAGGGAGAAGTCCAAGCTTGGAATGGAAAGTATATTCTGCAAACAGCCAGAAACGAGTGATAACAACAAACACAATTCAAAACGTATATATATATATATATATATATATATATATATATATATATATATATATATATATATACAGCACAAAACCGTCATTGGGGAGAGTTACCAAATAGAATACTAAAAGACGCAACGGACCAATAGCATTTAAGATATTTCCCAGTGGGAAATACGACATGAAGGTGACAAAGCGCCTTTGGCGCGAAAATAAGAAAATTGAAATTTTCTAAATAAATTACAAAATAAGGTGGTTTCCCAAGTGAGTTCTGGGGATCTAACGTCCCAACAATCATACTTTGACATTCATTTCATATCAGGTTAACGGAATTGTTGTCAATACCATTGCCTTTCTCAATATTCCAACAACAAAAAACATAAGTTAATGATAAGAAAATACCTAATACTAACTCATGACCCACTAAATAATTAACTCAGCAGAAATTAGTCTACATCTAACCAAGAAAAATAATTTCCAATTTTCATTATAATAACACCTATTAATTTAGAGATGCTATTATTATAACTATTCTGTTTGTAGGTAACCGCCAAAAACCCTACCTTGAAACAGGTTTCCTCCTAATTAACACTCTTCAACAATGTGTACATGTAAATTATAAGAAAACGAGTTACCCCCTATATGACATCAACTGATGTCAACATCTGCTTCAAAGTTTGAAAAATACTGTTCGACTATTGAATATTCTCTGAAAAGAGTGATAATGACAAGTTTCGTCGGAACACATTTGTATCAGATCATATGCTATCTTTATCATCTGTTTTAACATATAAACGTTAGTACAAGGAGGTACCAAATTTATATATGAAGGCTGGAGTACTATCCGGGTTCCCAAACAAAATCAGATGGTTTTCTTAGAGAGCCACTTTCCGAACCTTTCACTTAAGTATCTAATCCACAAGACAGTGGGACAATATTACGAGATGCAGTTCCATGGTATTCGGCGACAAACAATAAGTTCATAAGTCATTTGTCCTCTCAGAACTGTGAAGTTCATGTGCACCACTAGTTTGGAATCAAAGTCTTCCAACTCCCCTAGGTGAATCCTCCATATCCACTAACCTGATAGGACACCCCCCTGACAGTGGATGTATATACATGGCTATGTGAGAACATTTCTAGAGATAGAATGAACTCTCTCTCTACGTTCGACCGTACCATGTCAATTATGGGGGGTGAGGGCCATATTCTATCTAACATGAATTAGTTAACAGAAAACAATTACTTTGAGTAATGCACTTACTATTCACATGACTTTACTCATATCATTTCAGTCATAATTATATGAAATAAAATAAAACATTGATTATAATGACAGTAAAGATTGAGATATGAAAGAAAGAAAAAAAGAAATCTTTCGTAAAAAAAATTACAAAAAAAATAATTTATTTTAAGAAAATATGTTTTGTATAACAAACAAACATGTTTGTTCATTATCATTATTATTATTACTTAATGAAGTCTATTTATTTATTAAATGAATTAAAAAGAAAAAAAATTGAGAGAAAAATAACTGAGAGAAAAAGAACATGGAAATGTAATAAAAAAAACACAACAAACTAAAAACATCCTCAACAACAACATCCATCATAATGTGTCACTCTTACTATTTAGTTTGTCCTTTCTTTTCTTTTTTCCCTCGTTGTCTCGAATCATGGAACTTCTTCAATCATGTTCATATGATAAAACACCAATAGGTTTGTTTTAATTATATTTAAATAAATAAATAAGTATATATTGAAAATAAATAGAATTAATTAATAATAAAACATTACAGAAAATGTTAATTAGATAGCTGGAAAATATCAGTCAAATAATAATGATAATAATGAAGGCGGTAAAAAGATTATTATTATTATTATTATTATTATTATTATTATTATTATTATTATTATTATTATTATTAGGATTAGTAAATCAAGAATGCAATGCATTTTACTGAACAGTCTGAAATATGGAAATGAAGCAATAAGAGTAAAGAGAAAGAAAGAAAGAGGACAAAAGAACGTAAGATATGTGGAGCGAGAGAGAGAGAGAGAGGGGGGGGAGAAAGAGAGCGAACTTCAATGAATTACATTCATTGTAATTACAAAATTTAGAATTAAAATTTATGAATTAAAAAAAATAGAATGAAAAATATCAGGTCGGGTTAAATAGATCACACATTATTTGATTTTCTATATAGACATACTTATAGACAAGCTAATTTTTATGTCATGCATTAGGATGGTAATAAATGAAGAGAAAAAAAACAATGTGAATAACAATAATGTTGTAAATACACATACTACTAATGATACTACTGTTCATATAATGATTAATAGTAATGTTATTAAAATAAGTATTATTATTATTATTATTGTAACTGAATGGATTAGTAAGTGAATAAAAAAACTAACAATGATTTTAAAAAGACTCTCATATCTATATCACAATTAAAGATAGCAGCTTAAAACTAATATATAGCTTAGGAAGAATGTTTTTGATGGACAAAAGTGAAAAAATATGGAATATTATTCATACTGAAGAATAATAAAGAGTTTTATCATGATTAGTAATATGATATGTATAAATGGAAGCCCAGTGGATATGTATATAAGTATAATGTTACATTTGTTAGTTGACATGAGTAGTAGTACTACTCATCATAGCAATATTAGTAGTATAAATAACAATCTTGATATGATCAATTTCATGCCTAGAAAAGAGCATGTACGGTAAGTAATTGATTTTTTTATTATTACGAATATATGTGTATATACGCTGTTGAGTTAATTATGATATGGTCAGTTCAATTTGGGAGAGGAAAAGTTTCTATAGAGGAAATAAACAGAAAAAAAATAAGAAAAAAAGGTTAGTGATGATTATATTTAAGTGATAAACGAGAAAACGAAAAAGTCATTTGTAATTAATTTCATAGAATAACTTACCTGAAGTGTGTTCAATTACTTATCAATCAGTATTAACAATAAAATTTCTCAGAAGGGGTTTGTGGAGATTTTAGAAATTTCACGGATTGAAATCATGAGTCAGTTGAAGCTAGACCACCGTGGAAAACCTGGAAGCACTGAACGGCCGTTTCGTCCTAGTAAAATTTCTATTATTTCCCGCATGAAATATATTTTTTTTATCATAAGTCATTATAGTTCAAGTGTCAGTTGCGATTTAGAATTTCAGAATAATGATAACACATTTTAAATAAATGTACTGATGACAACTTACTATGCATTTAATTCAATACCTATTAGAAAGCTTAAAAGTTTTGAGTAAAACATCAACTATGGTTGGGTTGACTAGATACTGCCAATGAATTTCATAAACCAACGACTCGATTACTCCCCAGTTCACTCTAGCATTAAAAGGTTTTTCATTTGAAGTAAATTATTGAGCTTACAAATTTAACAAAGAAAATGATGTGCTCTTCAGAAAGTGAACCTATTTTGATCATTATAATGAGTATTTTCATGTTGTCAAAATACCTGTTTTCTTATTGTTGAACAATTCAACGGAGACACCATTTACTAAACTCTTAGATAGTGAATTTTTGCAGTAAATATTTCTCCTAGCTTTTGAAATACTCTATAAAATACATACATTAGTTAGTATAAGGGATTTATAAAGACTGTGAACTTTCCTAAATTTAAACGATGAATTAGTCTTAGCTGAAAAGTGTGATCAGCGGAGTTCAACTGTATTGGGTGTGAGAAAGATTTTCGCCAAAGATAATATAGAAGTTAATTACACAATATCGTGGATTGATTGAAGTTAGACTTGTAAACCATTGGATCTTGGGTCAGTGATCTAAGTACTAAGCATTCGTGCGCGAGTTCTGAAGATTCCAGGTTTAATTCCTGGCTGTGACGTTGTGAATTGACACTGTTGAGATGTTCCAAACTGGGACGAAACGGCTTTCTAGTACTTCTTGATTTTTTGATAATTGTATAACTAAGATCGCTTCATGATTTAAATTTTATTGACCTACAGTAAATGTATAAGATCACTTACCATGCACATAATAATCATCATATAATGTCACTTACATAATCAATAATGAATTCATCATGCATACAAGGAGTTACTCTTCCAGTCACAAACACACATACACCCACCCATGAACTATAATATAGATACTGTAACCGTTAACATAATAACGATAATTAATTCAATAAAAGTCACTGAACTTAGATTTAGGCTAATTCACCTTAACAATAATTAATTGAATGTAAAATTTTAATTTAATTTGAAGTCGAACAAAATTCTTAGTTTTCAAGTATTTTATTATTATGTAAAGAAATTTATAATCATAATAATATAAAGGTAAATATATGATTATAAATTCTTAACATGATATTATGATGATTATATATAGTTGTCAGAAAAGAAATATAGATAGGGTATAGAGATAGGGTATATATATATAGAGAGAGAGAGATTGTATGATGCAAATGTGGAATAGTATTCAATTTACAAACCATCAAAAGAATACACACGTTCTTTTTTCAGATCATGATGTTGGTTGAAGATTAGATAATGGAGAATAGTGGATACAAAATATCGCTTAACCTAAATTTTGTTGTATTTAAGACTCATCAGTAAACAGTGTGTATGCAATATTCAAAAGACCGATATGCTTCCTGGTAAGATTAAACTCCTATAGTTCACTTTTACTGGACGATTTAGAAAACAAATGATCTTATATAGGACTGAGTTATTTGTAACTTAACAATCTTTAACTAGTGAACAATATAAGGTTTGTATGATAATTTAAATGTAAGTGTCAACATTATGATTTGATCGATAAGAGTCGATTCACATTTAAAGGGCTAATCAAACATAACATTGGTTACTACTGAGTTGTCAATCAGTTGTAAGTTTGCTTCATGGATTCTACAGCTTAATGAACAACTTTTGACAAACATTATAGACTGAGCACAATATCATGCTCATGATTCTGAAATTAATAATAGTACATTCTTTAGCATTTAGTGACTTTTTAACCAAAACATTCATGAACAACTTCATGATTCAAAGATTATTGTATTACAAACTGATGTCAGTTGGAGAAACTGTGAAAATATAATAGAAATTGTTAGCCATCTTATTCATATTTTAAAATATTAAACATTAAACATCAAAATTAAACGTAAGACTATTAGATCACACGAATCTCATAATACCATTACTGTTAATCAATTTATATTGAATGGTACGAATATGATATCTTAACACTAATATCAACAGTGATTAATTTTCTGACTTGAAACTTGAAAAACTTCAGAGGTTATAGCTTCTCATAAGAATGTGGTGAAATTCATCCAAAACAAAGTCAACAGAAACCATACAATTAGTAGTTAAATGTATATTTCTGAAAAGATTTTTATAGGTGGTTAATATATATTTCAATTAGTTGAAATTACTTATTAGATCACTAAAAATCAAAAAGTAATTGAAAACTGATTCATTCTAATGCGAAGATGTTTACTAGTTCTTATCCTTAACTCAAAGTGTGTTGATTGACTGTTAATTACCAATAACATTAATGATGAAACACATTATTACTATGAATGTTTTGAAAGTTGAAAATGCTAACTGTTTAATTCCCTAATTATTGATCTTAATGAATGGTATTCACTCTGGGTTTCTGCGTTGGTGTACTAAGAAGAATCAAACTAAATTTAGTCCGAACGAAAAATCTTTATACAATATAAATCACTCAAATGAACAATTAATTGAACTAAACATAGTATTTTCTCTCATCCATATCAGTTATAGTTGCATGTTTCATGATAATCCCAATTAAAGTAGCCTAATAAGATAAAAATTTCATTTTAGCATTACAACAGGAAATAGTTTACGAATCTAAATGAGATTAAACAATATCATTCTTGGTGTTAAAACAATCTTTTATTTTAAATTTAGTTGGTATTGTTTCTTCCCATTGTTATTTAGGACTTCAATTGATCAGTCTCATGTTGGCATATGTGCATCCTGTGCGGATTGCCTCGATAAAGCCTTACGTCACAAGCTTTTTAAGCAAAGATGGATAGTGGCTAGCAATAGAATCCAGGAAGCGCGTTTCGTCCTATTTGGGACTCGTCAGCTGGATGTACCTGCATCCCAGAATTGACTTCACCCCATTGCACAAGAAGGTAGCTACTAGGATTCAGTAGCTAAGTGGATAACGCAATGGCGTTTGAAGCGAATGGTGCTGGGCTGGAGTCCCGGAGTGAACATCGACTCTGGGATGCAGAAACATCCGGCTGACGAGTCCCAAATAGAACGAAACGCGCGTCCTGGATTCCATTGCTAGCCACTATCCATCTTTGCTTAAAAATTATTTTATTTTATTATTTTATTTAAAAATGAACAGTTAAATTTGACGTAGTCATCAAGCCTCTTCTAAACTGAACTGAAACTAATTACTTTCAATGAGACAAATATATCAGTTGAGATACTAATAAGTAAAAAGTTGTATAAAAAATTGTATGAAACAGATTTGAATCTCATTGATAATGTTATTTGTCTTAACATTACAAGCACATTATACTGATGACTATTGACTAACAGTAAACCCTAAGTCATGTAAAGTTTCTTATTATTGACTGCGTACAACCATCTAATAATATTTTATAAATTCAATTAATTTGTAATAATAC